GGGAGCCCGATGCGGGGCTCGATCCCAGGACCCTGGGATCATGACCTGAGCCGAAGGCAGACACTTAACGACTGAGCCACCCAGGCGCCCCAAACTATGTACATTTTAAAAAGGGTACTCTTCTAATAAAAGATGGATATGCCATAAATCATGTAAGATGTTAGGGTTTACCTTCTATTTCTTTGATCTAGCTATCCAGCCATATACACACACACCCCTATCCATTTTTCCCTCCCTTTAGATACAAATAATGTAGCAGTATATACATAGTTCAGATATTAAGTCCTGAGAAATTTTCCAAATGCAAGAGTTTAAGGCAGGTACCACAGGACACCAACCTACACAACAAATATTCACTTGAAGTCATTTATAAAAGGAATTCAAACTGCTTTTGAGCGAATCAACGATTTCTCTGCATTTGGGCAATCTTTTTTTTTAAAGATTTTATTTATTTATTCAGAGAGAGAGAGTGAGCACACGAGCACGAGTAGGGGGCGGGGGGGCAGAGGGGGAGAGAATCCCAAGCAGACTCCGTGCTGAGTATGAGCCCCACACGGGGCTCGACCCCAAGACCCAGAGATCACGACCTCAGCTGAAATCAAGAGTCGGGTGCTTAACTGACTGAACTACCCAGGCATCCCCGCATTGGGCAATTTTAACTACCAATGAGTAAATCAATGAGCTCAACTCCAAAAGGTCCATTTAGACCATGTGATTTTTACTTAGTAAAATGATTCCACGTCTTAAGAATTCTCATGGAAAAGTCCAAGCCAGCATCTGCAAATTGGGCATAAAAAATATGAGGTATTTGTTAAGAGATGCGCAGTCCAGGTCCTACCTCCATATTTATGCATTAGGCCTGGGATGGGGCCTGGGAATCTGCAGTTCCAACTCATACCCCGGACGATGATGATTCAGGGAGTCCATGGAACAGATCCGGAGAAATTCCGCTTGCACCAGTCAAGCTTTTAGACTAACATAGTAGGCACATAGTAGGCATGGCGGGGTGGGGGGGAAGCAGTTGCTAAAACGGAGTTTTCAATTACTGTCACAAAAGCAGATAGGAGACTGACATCTGGGATTTCCTAGTATAGAAATTGAGGGAATTCAAAAACAATGCTCTTTGTGTGGCAAAATTATTCAGAATTTAGGTTAAAGGAAGCTCTGACAGTAGGAGCACACAGGAGGAACAAAAGGATGCCATATTTCAAAATGATTCCAGGATGTTCATAAAGGAGCAAAATGATCAATGATGTGAGTCAGACAAGGCTGGACAATCTTCACATTGTGTTTCAGGTTTTGCAAACGAGAAAAAGCCAGAAGGGTGACTCTTAGACGTGCAACCGTAGTGAGACTGGAAGGGAAGGGCTCGGTACTACCGTCACACCCCCAAATAATGTTCATTACCTCATCTGCTCTCTCACACATACCGACAATCCTGTAGCCATCACTTACAAAGCCAGGAGCCATGGCTACTGAAAATACTAAGGCTAATTCTGAGCAAATTTTGAGTCTAAAATTATAGTACTTCCCTAGAGTGCCAGTCAGCAGAAATATGAGCAGAGGAGATCACATACTAACAGTACTAGACACTATTTAAAATCCTGCTTCTTACATTATCTTCATCACAGTAACCTGATTCTACAAAGTTGTAGAATTCTATTTCCAATACAGACAAAATACTTCTAATACTGTTTAAAGAACTAGAGACCAAAAGTACATAAAATCTGAAGGGAATTCAATCCGTGAAAGAAGGAAACCACACTAGGTGAGATCCATAGTCCACCTTGAATAAAAATACTGCTAAATTCAATGTGTGAAGTTGACTGTATACAGATTCAAAAAGAACAGCCACAGAGGACACACTGGGGACAAGTGAGGAAACGTGAAAAACAACTGGATATTAGTTCATATTAAGCATTGCTGTTAATTTTGTTTGGTGTGATAATGGTTTTGTGGTTATGTAGGAGTACTATGGTTACTTTTAGGAAACAAATATTAAATTGTAGTTACGGTTAAGTGTCATGATGTCTGCAACTTATTTCTACACACTTCAAAAACTACCACCACCATGCACAGGCAAAGCACATATTAACAGAATGTTAACTACAGAATCCAGGTTGTGGATATACAGGAGTGATCACTGTACTATTCAACTTACTTGAAAATTCTCATAATAAAAGTTATTTGGGGGGATACTTACGAGCATTCCTCAAAGACTTTGACCCTTTCACAGCCCTCAGGAGGTTCCCTTTTGAACATATAACTGTTGTTAGGTTTTGGTGAGGTTGCATATTTGGGCAAAGGAGAGTTGTTCCCATTCTCTGCAAAAAATGGCATGCTGGATTACTAAGAAATACTGCCACATAAATGCAGTCATACTAAATTTTAATTGTATATGGCCTCCCCCGACACCACGAACTGCTTGAGGGTAAGAACAGTGTTTTACTCATCAACACCACCACCCAAGATCTGACACAATACCTGCTAAAGAGGAGATAATTAATGTTTGCTAAATAAATGCATAAACAAAAAAATTTTATTTCTTTTCCACTTACAATTACTACAGCTTAGGCCTATCTCACTTAATTCACGGCACTTAACACTGATATCTTGCTCCCTTATTTCTGATATATACGCAGCAATCAGACTCAAATGCCAGTTCCTTTCTTCCCAGTACATGTAACTGAGATGGCTCTTCGCTGGTTGCTTATCATTCACTCCCGGCCTGCCCTTCAGAATTTCTCAATTTGATTTCTCTGCTCCTCTAAGTTACAATCTCTGTTCCAGCAGTCAGGAGACATCTTGCACTGTACGCCAAAGGCTTCTCCTTACTTCAGAGGTCCATCTCTATTCATTTGCCAAAACTTCCTTCAAAGTCTAGCTCGAAGTTTTGAAATCTTTCCAAATTTACCCTATCAAAGCAAATACTTCTTTAACTCTGGCATTCTTGTTCAGTGTTGATATCCTCAGTTTCTACTACATTAACTTAAAATTCCTGATATGTTACCTAAGTGTTCTAAATTTTCAGTCTGACTGTGTCAACTAAGCTATAAATTTTCTTTGCGGGCAGTAGCACTGTGGCCCTGTTTTCTTATAAAAGAAATTCAGAGAAGCTAACCACTCACCAGTCTCCTAAAGTGAAATAAAGCATTACACAAAATTCACGGAGTTCCAACTTGTTACTGAAGTAAAAGTAGAAAGTATGGGCAACAAGGGGCAGATTTTAATAGCCATGTTTTTTTAAAGGGGGGGCAGTGTTACATTTAATTGAGCACTAAGTACCAGAAGCTGTGCTAAAAGGTTTGCATTTACCATTCCTTTTAATCCTAACAATAAGTAGTAGTTAATTATGCAGATTCTGATAAGGAACACACAGCCCAACCAAAGGGTTTAATTCTGTGAGTGTCAGACCTCGGTGCACACTGGAATCACCTGAGAGCATTAAAAACTATTGGTACCTGTATCCAACCCCCCAGGGGTTGTGATTTAATTGGTGGAGGGTGTTGGAATAGCCATATTTTACTTAACCTAGAAGCTGGTAAAAAAGGGTTCAAATAATAACATTTACAACTGCCCATACCTTTAACTGACTTCTTCAGGAAATCTTATGTTCTTTTCAGTTGTTACAGTCTCAGTAATTTAGGTAGTTGATGGTAATGGCCAATTGTAACTTTTTAGGACATTCAACACACTTGTGAGTAGTAGGTTCTCAATAAATGACTACTAAACTGAGCTGCAGAATTTACAAATATATTATTGCTCTCAAGTACACAGAGTAACTTGGATTAGACTAACAAAATTTTGTCCTGATACAGACAAATGACAGGTCATGTTTGTTTTAAAAGTCAAGAACATTAGTAATTAATATTCAAACAGCTTAAGTCTCCAAATTATCTTTTAAGTTGCATAGGTAGTTTAGTACTGTAAGTAAGCCTTCCAACCTTTTACAATAGGCTTGCCTTCAATACTCATTTTGCATTGACATAAATCAGCTTAATTCTTGTTAGAAATTTCACAAGAAGTGATTCTAAAAAACATTAATTTGAAGGTTTCAAGTTCAATTAAAAATACTAAGGTAGTAAAAACAATACAACTAAGGTGAAAGAGAACAAAGTGCTTTTTTTTTTTTTTTTTTTAAGATTTTATTTATTTGAGACAGAGAGAATGAGAGAGAGAGCACATGAGAGGGGTGAGGGTCAGAGGGAGAAGCAGGCTCCCTGCTGAGCAGGGAGCCCG